GCTCCTAAGTGCGCAAAAAATATAGCTTTCCGTGCAGATACTAACATTTTTTATAATGTATAACTTTCTTAAACCGTACGGATTTATTGTGTACTTAACTTTTGTGACTTACCCATTTTCGGCTTCATCTTTGACCCAGCGGGAGCAAGCAGTGCCAGCTTCTCTTGGACTTCTAAGAAATAAAATACAAAATCACAGAATTGTGTACTTGTATAACTGGTTAATTATATATTTTCTTTGTATAGTTTATTCATATAAGCTTACCGCAGAAAGTTTAATTACGCGCCGTTTTTGTGGATTCGTTAACGCATGGTTAATTTTAGCCAAAAATCTCGCAATATTTTCTGTAGGTTTGCCGCCGGGTTTTTGTTTGTTTATTACAACGAGTGGTCAGAAGGTAATTTTACTTGATCCTAAGTATAGGAAACATAATGAGAGCTCGAAAAATTGTTTCTCTCCAGGCCATTTGGGAAAATGATATTTTCGTAAAATGTTCTTAAAATGTAGAGCACAAACGTACGTACAGGTCTTTATTATAAGCTTTAATTATCCTTAAAAAAACAGTTTTTAGAATGTGTAGTAATTCTCTTTAATCATGCTGCGAGTCTTGACAATTCCAACTGTAAAGAATTTTCCAATACGAGCGTGCCGAGCGCGAATGCGTGAGGCGACCTTGTCCAGTTTTGTGGCAAATACTTTAAAAAATAACGTAACGTAAACCTGTTGACATCGAAAATTTCTTTTTTCTCTGTATGCTAATAAGTGGCACTCAAAGTCTTTATGTTGTTAGCCAAAATCATGTTCGTTTGACTCAATACCTACTGTCCAGTAATTCCCACTGTGCGTAACACCTGCCGGAGCCTTTTCAATCAGGGTCGGCCAACTTTGCCTTTGCCGTCCATTTGCCTTTGCCGTTTCAGTTTGCCGTTTTCAACTTTACCTTTACCTTTCCCTTTGCCGTCGGAAAAGCCGTTGGCATTCCAGTTTGCCGTTTCAGAACGCCGTCTGTAAAAGCCTTTGCCGTATGAAAAACGAATTACCGTTAGCACATCGCCATTTCTAAACCTTTTTTGCGCGTTTCCGGTTTCACGGGTTTTCACGTTATTTTGCATACGTTATGTGCACAGCCCGCGAAAGTTTTAATTAAAACTTTCGCGGGCTGTGCACATAACGTATGCAAAATAACGTGAAAACCCGTGAAACCGGAAACGCGCAAAAAAAGTTTAGAAATGGCAATGTGCTAACGGTAATTCGTTTTTCATCGGACAGACGGCGTTCTGAAACGGGAAAGTGGAATGCTAACGGCTTTTCCGACGGCAAAAGCAAAGGTAAAGGTAAAGTTGAAAACGGTAAACTGAAACGGCAAAGGCGAAGTTGGCCGACCCTTCAATCATTACTCTGTACCACACGTTTTTATGATTATCTCACCTCTTTACAAATCGTAACGCTTTTCTTCTCATGTTTGTATAAACAAAAAACGTCTTCCTGTTAGAAGTTCTTCCCTCTTGCGAAGTGTAATAATAAATCAAATTGGCAGTTACTACTGCGCTCAGGAGAAATCTTAACTGTTCATTACCAACTGCTACGGATAGGTGCAGAAAGGTTGCAACTTTAAAAACAAAAAAAATAAAATAGTTTATAATCAGACCTAAAATTAAAGTATCTCAAAGATAGTATGCACTATTTAAATTTTTTGTGGAATGCTCAGTGGCTTATCAGTTTACCCTTTCGCTGTTGTTGAATGCGCTCAGCCTTTTTCCGAAGTTTCTCCTTAAGTCCGAGCAGTTGGTCAATCTGCGCGCGTCCGTCCAGTTCATTGTTGGGTCCGGCATTCGGGTCAGCCTGTGCTTCTTGCTGATTGTTATTTATCTCGGCAAACATATCACCGCTTCCAGACCGGCTGCCATGCTGATTAGCCACTCCGCTGTTTCCGGTGTCGACTGACTCGGGGTCTTCTTGCTCCTGTGGCAAAGTATTGCATGCCGCGTTCAAAATAGCCGGTGTTGGTGACTTCAGTCTGTTATCTCGAAGTTCTTCAGTCGGTACGGATGCAGGCGCTGTTCGATGGTTGACAGTATTGCTGTCTCGGAGCTAAAAAATTATAAGTACAGTACGTGCGCTGCCAACTAGGATCGCGCTGTCGTATTCACTGTGTCAGTAGTGCACAAAATATCAAACAAAATGCGCTGAGCACCAAAACTGGTAGGAAGTATCCTACGATTTTATAATTAAAATTACACCTCATCATCATAATAGAAAAATATTTTATTTACAAATACACTGGAACAAATACTACAATATCTATAGTTGGCTGAAACGTCGGCACCTGTGTGACTTATCGCGCAAGATTAGAGTACTCTGTTGATATCAGCAATTTTATACTTCTGTTGGATTCAGCAATTAAGAAATTCATATTAATTTTCAAATACGGCGGAAAATTAAACGTGTTAAACCGTTTCCGGCTCCCGCAGATGTCTGCCATCTGATGATTAACGTTGTTAATATTCAGCGTTTTATGTACAGCACTGTTTTAGCATTACAGGAACATCAGGTAAACTGCAATTACATGGCAGAAGGACTAATAATTTGTATTGTAACGGCGTCTTACATAAAGCAGTTTCAACACAACGTAAAAAACCAGCTAGCTGACATCCGTAGTAGCCGGAAGCCGTGGAACACGTTCGGATTTTGCGCCCTATATACGAGTATATAGGTATACCTATTTATAATTGTTAAACAGTGCTAACACACCCAATATGGTTCACGCCCACTCCAATAGAAGATGTGCCGCGGTTGAGATAACTAGCGCGGTAGACCGCAGCCAAAATATGCCTTGTAATCTAATTAATCTGGTGCCGGCAGTCAAAGGCCATCATTACCATATCTTTGGCAAGCTTCTCAAATTTCCGCCAAAATATTAAGTTGTTACCCATATTACCACGGAAAAAATAATCGCGTGTTTAGCTGTATCTGATATCATTCGATAGGCGTCCAATTTCAACCCGGTTTAAAAAAGGAAATTTGGTTGCAGCTTCAATTTCGAAATTTGCAGTTTTGGTTGCAGTCTGCGTAGCGCAGATTGCTTTCGCACACAGTGTAAATTCTTTTAAAACTGGAAGTACGGCCGTAAATAAAGCACTTGTGTTACGTTTACGTGCTGATGAAAGAAATTTTATAATCTGTGAATCGAAAATTCCTTTAGCTAAAAACCTAAAAATATTGCACTAGTAATAGTGCACCGAAAATAAACGCTGCTGGTAGCTTTTGCGCGGCGCCCCACGCTACCTTTCCGTCAGGTTTGTGTGCAGGTACAAGCTTGTCCGGTAATTTCCTACGTAAAGGTACAGCTAGCGCAAAGTTTGCCCTTATAACGATGGCCACTTCACCACGTTTATCAAATTTCCTACACGCGCTCCGCAGGCAGATTGTCGCTTACTGCACCGACCATTTTCTAGCCACCTTCCGCCAGGGCGCCAGGCAGTTCCTATTATCCTAATAAACTGTATAACGTGCACCAAGCCACCAGCCAGTCCAATGCAAGTTACGTGTTTAAGCAATGTGGCGTGGCGCGCCGGGAAGTGGGAAGTTTGGCGTAACAAGCAAATTTGAGTAAATCGCTGTATTGATTCATCAGAAATTACCGGACAAGCTTGTACAGTGCAACGGGTGCGGTACATTACAGATAATTAAATTAGTATTATTGGGCAGCGGTATCAGTACTAGTACATATTTTCTACTGGTTTAATTCGATATCCAACGTTTCTCACTACAACATGCTTAACGTTAATTCTGCAAGCGATTAACAGATTAGTTGAACATCGTATACTTTATTTTTCAGTAGTTTTTATTTATATTTCATAAGATATGCAGTTCATATTATAGAATGTTTAAGTATCGAAAGCGCTAGGCGCCAAAATAGTTCCTGCCGCCAAAAAGCGACTTTTATATATATGCAACTTCATATATATGCAAATTTCCGTACACCTCACTCTGTCGTCCAGCTTGTAATCGTCTCTGCAATAATGCACACAAAATGTACAGTTTGCATTCTCCAAAGTTCACCGACAATTCTCGCCTCTGAATTAGTCTAGCCCATGTCTAGATCGGGCTGTTACTCCAAATATACCGGGTGGCTGAACAAAATGGCCGTCTGATTCATCAAGATGTACTGGGCCAGTCTAATGTCTGATTGGCTGCATGCTAATTTTATTCGAAAGAGCAATCTTTACTACATACAAAAGTTAAGTTAAACTGCCCTTATATAATGATCTAATTTGACAGCAAATTATTTTGAAAAATTAGGTGGAGTTTGGGGATGTCCCGGAAACAAAATTTCAAATTTCCCCATTTCTAAATTAAAAATTGCTGTTAATTAGCTAAGTAGATGGCAAGGTTTTGCATTACAGTTTTTGGTAGAGCAGTTGTTCGCTGTTTTATTGCCGTTAAGAGTTGTGGCTTTACGGTGATTGCGTTCGGCCAGGAGACGAGTGCATTTTTTCCACACGAATGAAATTCTCGTGAAACGGGCAAGTAGAGAGTCTGAAAATCAGTTCCTTTCTAATGCAGGCAGTACTCATCTGCACCAACTAGATTCTGCTGGGGCAAGGCCTTAACTACATATTTCATTTAAGCCGACATTTCCTGTTGCACTGTCAGGCAGCAAAAAAATTGTAGCAAAAATTCCTAAAAAATCAGGTTGTAGAAATGAATTTTTTTTGAAAAGTAACGAAATGCGCTAAATGTACAGCGCATCCGGCGCAAGCACCAAGTCGACGATTTTCTTCAGATTTGAAAAATGAAGGTATGCTCTAGATAAAACAGTTGAAACAGTTCAAAGAACTTGTACGGAAAAGAAATGGCGCAAGATTCTGAATGTTGCGAGCTGGGACACGATAAATTTTTACACAGGTTCGTTTCGTCCCATCGCTAACGAGCATATCTGAATGTTTTTTTACAAGCTTAGTTGGTTTTGGTAGTCAGTAAAATTCTCTGTCGAATGAATGTCAACACGATACGGTGCGACGACTCGTTCGCGAGAAATAAGCTTAAAACGGAGACGGCCATTTTCTTCGGCCACCCGGTACTATGACAATTTTCAAAGATCGATAAATAACCGAAGCTCAAAAAGATGAGATCTTGATGGTCATGCCGGCCCGGCAGGTCTGTGCCGCACTCCCAGCATTTCTAACAAATCAATTTGGAAACAGTTTAGCATTGTGGTGTCACCAAAAGGCGCATACCTTTAGTCAGTACTTAATAATTAACTAAGTACTATAATTCGGACAACAATTAATTAAGTACATAAGTCGTATAATATTAATATATACAGCGTAAGACAATGTCCTAGGAATAGTTGCGTGGTCCCATACGCAGCATTCTGTACTCATGCGGCACAATGCACTGCTGGAATAAAAGCCGCAGATTTTAACTGAGTTGAACAGTATGTGGAAATTTAAACATGTAGAGAGTATAATTAATAAACAAATTTCTAGTTGTCCCAACTCCAAAAGCTGTCTACCCACGTCTCCACACTGATAACGATGGAGGTTGGAAAGTCACCGATGTTGCGGCTACCATTTTGTACATCGCAAAGCAGTCAGGAATTTCCGATATCACGCTCAATAAATTACTTAAAGTGATTGCTATAATCGCAAATAAGAACCGCTTTCCCACAGAGGACAGTGAGTTTCCGGATACGGTATCCAAATTAAAAACAATGTTGGATTTGACCCAAGAAAATTTGAAAGCTGTCGTAAAATTCATGTGTCCTAATGAAGTTCAGACCACGCGCGTGCAAGGAGAAAGAAAAGGGAAGCAAGTTCGTTGCTTCTCTGCATTATCGGAAGCAAACGGCAAATTTGTATGCGAGTGCTGCGGTGCAAATTTCACGAAAAAAGAAGTTAACAAAGACGGGAATTATTTTGTCACCAATCCTCTACAAAACATACTTAGTACTACAATGCAGCAATTTGGAAAATACTGCGGAGATGTCGTAAGATCGGAAACTCCCATGCGTGATGTTCGAGATGGCCTGCGTTTCCAAAAGATAAATGCCGGCTCAGATGACCTGGTGATTGTGATGCATAGTGATGGTGCTGTACTGAGCAAAAGCACCAACAAGAAACTGTATCTGATGTTTACCCAATGCCTAAATGTGCCACTTGGACTACGGCTTCCTGTATGGTTTTTGCACACAATCTGGGCAGGAAGCGAACTTCCGAAAGATAGGGAATCATTTTTAATTGAACTTGTGAACCAGATCAAAATCTGTCAAAGAAACGACGAAAATTTTTTACCCGTGAGTGAATACAATAATTGGACCTTTTAGTTAATAAAAATTTTATGAAGTTAATACAATAACAGCCCTGGCCGGTCTTATCGTTTCCGTTGCGTTACATTTCGGTCACACGCAATTACTTTGGACATCGCTAATTTTTGCTGTGTTCTAATATATTCTTCAATATAGTTTTATTAATTTTATTTGAATTTTAGATTCACTGGGCTTATTTCACTTCTTAGATTTCTTAGATCTTTTAGCTCCTTAGGTTTCTTAGATTTCTTAGATTTCTTAGATTTCTTAGACTTCTTAGATTTCTTAGATTTCTTTGGTTTAAATTGTGATTGGTTTCTTATTTTTTTGTTTTCTTTCATTTTTTAACTTTAAAAGTTTTTAACTGGGGTCATTAAGAAAGTACCGCTTTGGATTATTTTTGATAAAACAACCTTCTTGTTTAGATCCAGTGGAGTGATGGCGAGAACGACCATCAGTCGCAAGTTGTGCTGCATTCATATATAGCCGACACACCTGAGAGGTCGGCAGTATCTGGGCAGCTTTCTCACAGCGCGAAACAATCCTGTATGTACTGCCTGCAAGTCGGTTTATGCATAAATCACAGGATCTGCTTTCCCCATGATCGAAACGCGGAACTTAAAACGCATGAAAAGTTGAAAGAAGCGGCAATAATTTGGGAAACTATGAACGCCAGACAACGTAAAATTGCTCTTAAAGAGCACCTTACATCTGGAATGAAGCGTCCCACTGTATTATCGCAGATTCAAGAATTCGATTTAGTGGAAGGATTTGTTCTGGATGTAATGCATCAGTTTGACGAAGGCGTGACTAAGTATCTGTTGAGCTTATTATGTGAGCTAGACTCAGTCCTAGCGTTAACCAAAGCACAAAAAAATGAGATTAACAGACGCTGGATGAGAATCATTATTCCCGCGCATCACAACCGTCCGCCCAGGGATATTGGCGAGTACAAAAGGATGAAAGCGCATGAACTGCGGTTCTTTATGCAACATGCGGCGCCCTTCGTACTGAAAGATGTTCTACCAAGCAGCGTATACGAAGTGTTCTGTCATGCGTCGCGAATAATTTGGTTGTGTACAAAAGAGGCAATTTCACCCACGGATGTTGCTGAACTTCGTGACCACTGTAATCAGTTTCTGGAATCGTTTCAAACATGTTTTGGGATTTCCGAAATGAAATATTCTGTTCATTTAACGCAGCATATTGCGTATGCTGTCGAATTATTTGGACCGTTGCACATCCTGTCTTGCTATGGACCGGAACACCATATCGGAAAAATATCAAGGAAAGTGCTGGCAATGCAAAATACTGCCAAACACATCATGAATAATTCCAACACGCTTACTGCGTGTGCCATTAAGCTTAACGAAGCGCGAAGTAGTTGCCGAACAGATAATGATGTTCGCGAGGTCATCTGCACGGTGCTCGGCGTACCAAGGTAAAAATATGATTAACACAGTTATTATTGCATATGCATAACACAGTTATTACTGCATATGCATAATATATTATTACTATTACTGCATATTATTACTGCATATTTCATATAAGCATTTTACATGAGAAGCTGTAAAATTCAATAAAGTGCATATCGTAATATGCAAGCATTAAAACTAGCTGGTATATTTGTATTTATATAAACATGAAAAGTAACTGACACAAAAGTTAAGATCTAATGCGAGTCTAAATATTTTAGGGAATTTGAGTTTTCCGAGCAGTCAACGTCGGTTAACCGATGCACTTTTATTGGCAAAGCTAGTCCTGTCAATGTGGATCATCCAGTTTATCGCCTGTTAAATGATCGACTGCACCGTACTGTGACGGCTTCTCAGCAGTTACAAGTATTTACATTCCAGCGCTGCCGCGTAGAGAACGGGATCTTCGTACGCACGCGAGCAAAAAATTTGGGCTCTTCGAGAAACGAAAGTATAGTCATTACTATGGGTGGTGACGTCATCGCAGTGGAGTACGTGATTGCGATCGTTAATGATGAGAGCACGGCTGTTTGTAATTCATTTGTGTGCGGTCGCCTTTTTTCCCACAATTACACTCACGGATTAATTGCTGGCACAAGTAAGGTGCCGATTGACCATATCTTCCCAGTCACACTGGACGAGCATTCGGAGCTCGCTCTGTTTGACACCAAATTAATCAGCAAGCAGTTGGTGTTACTGCGGGAACCACAAAATGGACTGTATATTGTTAGCCCACCTTCTAATCAGTTTAGGCTGTCCTAACCGACGTGGTTATTTTTGTCCTGCTATTACGACATTCTGTTGAAATTTGCGATAATTACCGCAGGCACCCTGGTCAAAGGTTATTTGTTTTTACTGAGATAATATTCACATCTATCTGTACAGTGTTTTTTTTACCTGTGCAGTTAATTTGGGACAACTTTTGTCATCTCTTAATAATTTTCGTGTTTGTCCAACAATATCTGTTCCCACACCACCAGATTTATGCAGAAGGAGATAAAAATGTCACTCATCAGATATTATTGGTCAGAGCCGAACGTTACTTTTCCGATCGGACATGCTTAGCGTGTATCACATGGCTTTTTGTATGGTTCACTCATCCGAAACATATGAAACTGTCTTTCCATATAAATGTTATTGATAGGGTGTGGTTGAACATGGCTTTGATGCACCTCGCCGGATTTAACCACACTAGGAGGCACTAAATCGAACCCTGAGGGGAGATCCATAAATTACGTACGCTGCATACCAGGGGAGAAGGGGTGTCAAAAATATGACACCTCCATATACTTGCGAACCCGGATACCAGATGCTAGGGGTCAAAATTTTCGAAAGAATCTACGTACGTAATTTGAGGATGCTTCCATAACGCATCCATGTGTGAAACATCAGCAATCTCAATGTGTCGATCAGCAATATCAGCTGCAGCTGGAACTAGAGCGGTATAAACAGTAAACACGTGTCATACACCTGTGTAGAACGCTCCCAGGAAAAGGTCATTCTTAAAAATGTGTAGTATTTTATTTCCAATAAACTTTTGCTGCATCATGTCGCGATTCACAATATTAATTTTGTAATTTAATACTATAAGCACGATTCTTAATCACGTCAAAATAAGCGTAATAATATGTAACTACAAGTATCGGTCGCGCTAGCGCGCGACCAGTTGTGTTCGAGGTATGGAAGAACGAAAAAAATACAAAATATACTTCGTACAGCAATAAAAATGATTTTTGGAAATATTTCAAATATGAAACCCCAGCGAGGCCAGCTACGAAAATATTTTGACATGTAGAAATGCGGACAGTTTTCAAGCTTTCCGGTTAAATTCGACCAGTGTTATAAAAACTGTGATAGCCTCCGCAGTTTTTATTTTTGTTTGCATTTTTCACGGTTCTTTTTCACGTTTTTAATGTAACTTTATATTGCTGATCTAACGAACTGAAAACTTGAATTTTTTGTACAACCGATAATATTTAAACGGGGATTGAATGAAAGGAGTTGGATTATTTAAACGATGTCCACAAAAACCATTCAGCCGACATTCTAGCGCAGAATTAAATGGAAACTTGTGAGAAACAATTAACGGTTGCCCAAGGTGACCTGGCAGGCTGCATTTTTAGCTACTAATTGTAAGATTTTCAGCCATTCAGTCAAGCTCATCGGTATTTATAAAAATAAAATAAACACATATTTATTAGATTTTGAGGTTAGTGAATACCCAAGCTACCATGCACCAGTATCACAGAGCCGCTATGTGAGTGAACACGGCCGGTAAACGGGCCGCGGGCTGCCTTTTAGATATTTAGAAATTACAAATAGGTAAATTAGACAATTTAGACCGTGAGATATTGAGGTACTGAGATTTCTAGATATTTTTAAATTTCGAAACTTTGGAGGCTCAAAAAATTAGAGGTAGCGGCCCCGCTGCGCGGGGCCGAGTCGAAATATTTAAAAATTCTTGACATGTAAAAGCTTTGGAGCCGCTTTTCAAAAAATTAGAGTATTTTGAGGTATTCAAACAGATTTAAAAACATGTTAAAGGTTTCAAAAATTAAAAAAAAATTATAAGTTTGATAGGATTGTCAATTTTAGATAACTATAGTTTAGGTTGCTAAGTTGCGAAACTTGTATTTGCTCTTTCGAGACGTTCCTAGAATTTACTGGAAATTTCTATGAACTTTAAAGGCTAAGTACTGAAAGTTTAAAAGGGTTTTTGAAAACGTTCCGGAAACCAAAACTTTTTTCCAAGCTGCAGGTAGGAAGCTTTGGAAAATGCTGGATTTTATAAAATAATCAAAAGCTTCACAAATGGAATCTCGAATTAGGAGATAATTTCCAAAACTAACAACCTTGAAGTACTTACAGCCTTTAAGTACTACAGCTTCTAAAAATTTTTTTAGACCTTCTCCAAAACTTGAGATGTTTTTCAAGATAAAGGTAGGAACGTTTGCGCGATGCTCTATTTTATAAAATTATCAACTTATTGAAAAGATCAATCTTGATTTGGGAGATAATTTCCAAAAAATAAGGACGTAAGGATATATGAATCTATTGATACTATTGATATTGAGTGTTATCGCAAACCGTGACTCAAAACGTTTACTTACAAGTTACAATACTACCGTACACTACGCCACTGCGAAAGACAATTCACGCAGTTGTGGTACGCAGAAGAAAATCTTGGGCGTATTGTATTACTGTATGTGTACTTCTACTGTATATTTATTACTTACTTAACGGTTTTGATTTATTGCCATAAATATGTATTTTTTACTATTACTGCCATATTATTTCCACGCACACTGCACCCGATGACTACAACCAATTTCAGGCGCAATAACTATTATCTGAATATTCTGAACACTCCCTCCACAATATTTAAGTACCGCTAGCGAGTGTGAAAAGGTCACAGAACGCCGTTTTCCATCCAACCAGAACGGGTGTTTATAAAAATGAAATTATTAATTTTTCATTTTTTACCTGATAAATGAATAAATAAAGTCGAAATCACAAACAGCCCGCCAACAATAATAAAAAGTCCTAAGAAGACCTTCCGATTAGCAACTTAATAAGCAGTTTGGTTCGACTTGACTAGATCGGCATCGGTGTTCATTAGACAGTTTATTCTGATTTGTTGCATTGTTCATTCACTTGTTGTGCGATGTAAGTCTAAAAAACGCTGTTTTAGCGCAGTATGCGTTAAAACGAAGCATTTACTGCACTGTTTTACTCCCCATGCGACAGGGGATTCAAGTATATCAAGTCAATGAGAAATGCCTTGGTTCTGTCAATCATATCGCGGAACAGGCTCTGGCTGCCGACTGGCGTATTACAGGGTTCAAGGTCAACAAAAATATTTTTTTGCTCTTACTTTTTTTGTGAATTCCTGTCGGAATATCTGCACATGTATTTGCACGGTCAATTTACCAAAATGTACCAACCCAACATCTTTTAAGCCGATACGACGGCTACCTATATTTCTTAAGTGTTCTTCCAAAATTACGCCAAAATTGTCCGAAAAAGCTTCGTAACGTTCCAAACACTTTTTGTTTATACTTTGTTTGCCATCAATGATCAAATTGTTGCGCACCGATCTCCAAGGCGGTAAAAGTACACTCTTTTGCCGCAGACATCTTGTGTTATGCTATGGCGGAAACCAAAACGAGTGCAGCGAGCCGGTGCAATTTTGGACAGGTCATCAACTTGGATTCGTATTGAAATGCTAACAAGCATACTGTGTCAGAAATCGTACAGGATTGTGCTGTAGAAAACTGTAACCAATGTTAATCATGGAAGTTGTTTCCCTTTATAATTTCTGACGTTTATAATCACAGTACTGTAGTTATATCTCTGTTTAAAAACCTGGCAGCCTAAACATTTTAGCTTAGCTAGACGTCCTCTAGGACAACAAAATATTTTTATGGAATTTTTATCTTTCTCATGGTGAAAGGTGCCGATCTTCTTTGAATTCAATTTGAAACTGCATGGTATCCAGCAGCGATGTATCGTTTTCTAGGTTATAATTTCGCGCGCATGTTTATAGGTCATTAAGAGGCAAGGTCAGAGATGAGGCGCAAGCATGCCGACTTTCCCGTATGCCGAAATGCCGTGACTATTCATTTTGTCCACCATTCATTTGGCCCACCGTACACTTCATTTACGATACCATTAGTAAAGTACGGCATTTGTTTTTTATAAGACAAAGCTAGTACGAATTTATTAAACTCGCATAGTAATCCGATAAAACTCGCATAGTAATCCGATAAGTTAAGTACAATAATCCGATAAGTTAAGTACTGTACTGTGCTATGAGAACGTGTATACACATAACACATTCATATCTATGGTCTCAGTGTTTATGGCAGATATTGCAATCTTTTAGTGCTGCAACAATCTCGAGTGCGGTAATTTGTAGTTTGTACGTAAATAACGTAATACACTAATACTGCTGCTAATGCCTAGTTCTGCGCAGCTGCATATTATGCGTTTCGAAATTTAGCGGGTTCATAGGCAAACGGTAAGCAAGCGATACGGATGATTTCGACTTATGCACATAATACAGCCTGCATCTAGCTGCTTATATCTTACGCCCAGACCGTGTCTATTGTGTGTTTTATTGTAACTAATATTAAATTAATTTGGGAAAGTGGTAATATTGTATTTAATTGTGAATTTAAAAAGCGTGGACCAAATGAATGATGGACAAGTTGATTGCTGGACAAAACGAATAGTGGACAAAATTAACGGTGGACAAAATGAATGGTGGAGAAAATAATAGGACGCCCCGAAATGCTAGCGCACCAAAATTGGTGTTTGTTTCGTATCGAAATCCATGTGCGTTATGTTAATTGTTTTGAATTGGAAGCGTGTTATAGAAGTATTCTGCGACATCGTTGGCATAGCAACTATAGTAGTGTTTCGTTTCGACTACTGTAAATGCTGCAGATCCTGTATACGTAATATGTAATCCTGTATTGCAAGCGATGTACGGAGGTGTAAGTAATGTACGGAGGTGTAAGTAAGTAAGTAATTAATAAGTAAGGTGTAAGTAAGTACGGAGGTGTACCGACCAAAACGTCCGCCGTAAATTTCGTCCACCCAGTTTCTTACAGGTTTTTAGCCGGATACTTTGGTCGGACAAATATTTCAGCCTGGACGCTTTGGTCGGACCACTATTTCAGCCCGGACGGTTTGGTCGGTTTAACGACCAAAACGTCCGCCGGACGTATTGGTCGTCCAGACGTTTTGGTCGGTACTTA